CTGTATCGAATGATACAACCAAAAATTGTTATCTATACACTGCTGGAGTATAACAACTTTGGAAAAAGAAGTTCAGATAAGAAGTTTCGACTTAAACTATTAGACAAACCCTCCATTTTGTTGGATTGAAAAGCTGTATTATATGAAAAAACCATTAATTTTATTAGCGAACGTAAAAGCATGCTTCGTATGATGTTTGAATCACTAAAGCTGAACTAAAGTGGACTGGTCGAAAGTTATGTGGAGTGATGAATCCATATTATCATAATTTCAATAAAGCTGCTCTAGCAGAGTGTGGCGGGAACCAGAGGAGGAATAGGATTTATTATGTGTTTCAGCTATAGTAAAATACAGCCCTAGCTGTATATACTAGGGTTGTTTTTCAAAAAAAAGTATCAGGCTGATTGTTTCACTATCTGGAATAGCAACTGGTGACTTACATATCACTATTCTTCATAAGTATGTTATATTAGCCATGAAAAAACATTTTCAAATAATAATAGCTGGTTTCAAGAGAACAATGCATGACCATACAAATCAAAGGTTGTAATGGCTTTTCAAATAAAAATAGCATTCGTACGTTATTTTAATCAGTTTAAAATTCTGATCTCAATTCAATTGAGAATCTTTGGGCTAAAGTTAAAAAAAATATTCGCATATATAAAAAACTACTATTTAATATTATTGAACTTAATCGATATGCTAAAAAAAACATGGAAAGAAATTCTGAAGCATACTATCAAAAATCTAGTCGATAGTATACTACAATGAATTCAAGCAGTGATTGCGGCAAATGGAGGCTCAACTAAGTATTAGTTACTTAATACAAAATGTAGACCTTTATTTAATTTAAATAAAATATTAATTGATCTTTTATTGTTTATGCTAAAATATTTTAAGTTTTATATTGGGTGAATAAATTTGCGAAAACTTTTGTCTATCCTTTGTATATTTATAAAATTAATTTAAAAAAAATTTAAAAAAAAAATATTAATTATTTATAAAAGTAAATCAGAAGAGAATTTATAGTAAATAATCAGATAAATTTACCTGCAAACTCCTACAATATAAGGAATAGCATTTATTATATTGTATTTATTTTAGTTGAATATTTAAATAGATTAAATCTAATGAATTTATATAAGATTTAAAAATGAAGTATTACAAGCTATTCAATATATTATTTAAAATTAAAAAGATATTACAAATAAATTAATTTGTAATTATTAGTGGCATACTAAAATTCTTTATAATGATATTACACCTAATAATAATAATGTTAATATTTAATTTAATATTCAAAATGAAGTTAATGATGATTTGTATTTGAAATTTTTAGTTTTTTTTAATTTAATAAAAATAAAAGAATTTCTTAATTATTCTGTCAAAAATTTTATATACAAAGTTTCTAAAAATAATCAATATGTTACAGATTTATGAAATTTATAAGAAAAATCAAATGATAATATTGATGATTTGAATGAAGCTAAAATAAATAATAGCACAGAAATATAATTATTAATATAAATACAACATTAAAGAATTTAAAAAATGTTTATACATTTTATTTTAGCAGGAAAATAAGAATAAATATATAAAATCAATAATATATTAGGCTTTTTAATTTAAAAACAAGTTATATGAAAAAATTGTGTTTATCAAATAAAAATAATTAATAAATAAACTTAGTACTACCTCTATTAATATGTTTGTATGAAACACTTTTCTTTATTAAATTATCTGTTTTTCTATACATACTTTTATCTTCCTATTTAATATTCTTATTTAAATATAAATTATCCTATTATATTATATCAATGTAAATAAGGAAAATAATAAAATAATAATAATAATAAAATCAAATAAATATAAAAGAATAAAATAAATTAATTAAAATGATTTAAATAAGACTGTGATTTTAACAGTTTACTTGTAATTTAATTTTTACTAATATTTAAGTATTTGTTTATGTTAATCAATTTAATGCTAAATCTGTTTTTTAATTTACAGATTTATTCAGTTATGTTTGATTGTTGATCATTTGCAAGTCTATAGATCAATTCTGCAATTCAAATTTTCAAGGGTAATAATAATCTTATAATATTTACAGTTCAAAATTGCAAAAATTGCAAAGGGTTATAAAAGGTTATGAAAGATTACAAAGGCTATATAAATCTTACAAGGTTTATACTTAAAAATTTTCATGATGTAGTTAATATAGTATAATAAAGGAATGCATTGTATAATAAAAATAATAAGAGAATATATATACCGCATACTTCCGAAATTAAGCATCCAAAATTTATGAATATGCTAAAAATAAACACCCCTCAAAAAATTAAAATTAATGGTTTTTTTTATTTTTAAAGTATTATCATGTGAAATTAACAGTTCAACAAAGAAAAATGCAATTTTATTTATTCATTTATATCATCACTAATATTAGTTATCTTCCAATTATCATCACTCACATCATTCTCAAAATTGCTAACATTATTTTTCAAATCACTAATATCAGTAATTTCTAATCACCCTCAATTTCTTTATCAGAATCCCTTATACCATCTAACGTATTGGAAATGTTACAAGTCTTGTAGAGATTCCCTCCTAAAAACGTTGCACCTATCCACATACGTCTCCAAGTTTAGCTTATTGAAGATTACCTGCAGCTGTCTGTCCAGCACTACCAGCAGCTATCCAAAGATGTCATTCCTTGCATAAGTTATTTTTAAACAGTTTATTTATAGTAATGTCAAGTGGTTGATATAAACTTGTCAATCTATCTGGTATAATGGCTAAATCAAATCCGCAATTATGAAATTTCTGTTTTATTTATTCTTCCAGGTGTTCACGAAAAGAATTGTAAACTATTAACATCAGAGCCTGGATCCATCAACCACTTTGACATTTTTAAGATAATCAACATACCGTTTCATCAATTCAGAATCCATTCAACTATTTGTTTGAAACCAAACGAATACACCGGAGGTATATTTTCACCTTTTTGTAATCAATTCTCTTTAAAGATGCAGATTGGAGGAAACTTTATACCATCTACAGTAAAAAAAAATTTAATGTTAAATAAAACAAAATAAAAAATTCGAAAATCAAGAATATCTTTGAAATATTATTGAAAATTAAATGAATTGTTAAAATTAAAAAAAAAATATGTTTGAAATATCCCCAAATATATCAAATTCTCTAATTAAAATTGGAATCGTAAGCCTAAAAGTTAGAACTATAAGCCTGAAAAATCAGAGCTATAAGGTTAAAAATCACCATAAGTCTGAAAATTGGAACTATAAGCTTAAAATCGCTAAAGATTTGTGTGGATTTATAATAAAATCTAAAATCAGATCATAAAATCTTAGAAATGAAATCACGAAACTATCATGATACCATAACTTAAAATCGGAATATAAAGCTTAGAAAAAACTTAGCTTAGAATAGAACTCATTAAATTTAATTTCATATAATGAACTTAAAAACTATTTACTGTGACCTACCTGCTGCACACGTCAAAACCACTGTAAATCGGGTTTTATTATTGTTGGTATTGTGAATATGAACTGTTTTCTCCCCCTTTGGATTGACAGTAAAGTTACCCATCATGTCGAACCATACCGGCATTTTATCTATATTAAAAATGTTGACCAATTCGAAGGATTTTTCAGTTCTCAGACGGGTAACAAATTGATGGAATTTGACTAACAATTCTTCCGTTTGACTTGGAAGCTTTTGGGAAATTTTTATACATCTCCTCTAAGATAGTTTATATCTTTTCAGAAAACAGGACAGCCATTGATCTGACATTCTAAAATCTTTTGCCAAATCTCCATACAAATTTACCATTTCAGGCGTCTTCATAATTTCTTGCATTTTAACTCATAGAATCGTTTAAGTGACTGCCAATCCTTGTTTTCTTTGCTTAATGACCTAAGTATACAACTTACCTTCAGCCTTAGGATAAAAGGCTTTTCGACCTGAGCCAATTCGTTTGCTGTCTTGTTTTATTTCAGTATTCCAATTTTCACTTATGATTTACCATATTAGCATCAAGTTAAAAATGGTCTGCCGCTTTGTTTCGTTCATGCTGCTTAGCATAAGTGATTACTTGATTCTTTTAGGTAATAGAATATGAAGCACGATTATGTTTGATACTTTTATTAACTTTGCGTGTTCTTGTTATTTTTTATGAGAAGGTTACCGAAACATGTTTCACATTATGAAATAAATTATTTGGTTGCATGAGATCATTTGGTTGCATAGATCATTTGGTTGCACAGGATAATTATTTTGCGTAGTTCCAAATATCATTTTGGCAACACAATTTCGAAGAGAAAATTTTTAAAAAACCATTTGAAATTAAGCACCCTATAGTAAAAGGGGTGCTTAATTTCGGAAGTATACGGTACATATTTTTTTATGTGTATATATTTGTGTAAATCAAAAAAAACTATATAAAAGAGATGAAAGTAAATAGGTAAAATAAGTGTTTTTTTTTTAAAAAAAAATGAAATTTATAATATGGTTTTTTTAAGATTCAATTAGATCTAAATTGATTTTTACTTAAATTAAAAAAATATTTTTATTTAATTTAATTATTTATTTTTATACTTCTGTGATAAAAATTTATTTAATTCTAAGGGGGGATGCACTTATAAAGAGTTGATTACGATTCATTCTACTGGCTTATTTTTTTTAATAATATTAATTTAGGTAAAATATCTTATAAGTATAACTTTCTTTTGATAAATAAATAAGGTTAAAAAATAAGTAAATATTAGGAACTTTTTTAATAATTTAAAAGAAAAGCTTATTTTGATATTAGCTTATAATAGGATTTCATGTTAAAATGATAGAATCATATTCAAAAATAATAATAAATATTGTAAAACGCTAGTTCCAAAAATCATATTTTACATGTATTTTTACATTCCTATAAGCTTATTTGAAATGGAAATAAAAGGATATGAAAACTGATTTTTATTAAAATCAACCTATTTTACCCTTTTTAGACCGTTAAACGGATACTTATACTTCCGGTTATTTTGTATAGACCGAGCTTTTGGGAACTGAATAAATATAAGAAATTTAACTTTGAATTTTTTCTTTGAAAATATATTGTAAATTATTCACTAACCATTGATTGGTAAACAGGCTCTTTCCCTTAAAATCAAACAACGAAAAATTTGAGGAAAAAAAAATTTTTTTTAACCTGTATTTGGATTTTTAATATAAATCCATAAAAATCATCATCAAAAACTTTTTTAAAGGGTTTAACATGATCGAAGAATTCATCTGACGTACACAATGAAAATCGAATAGAAGAGATACATGGGATTAGAGTTTCTTTCAATCTCATAAAATTTTCTTGAGTCCAGGTCTTTGGATCTTCATTAAAAATGATCGTAGAATTTCGACTGATTCCCCATTTTTTTTACAAATTTCCAAACTTCAATTTCTTTAAATTTAAATATTTTCTTTTCCAATAACATTTTCAATACGCTTTCATCTAATAATGCAGAATCCCCTGATTCCAAAAGTGTTGATGGTTTTTCTTGAATCGTTTTGTCGCAATATTCTTTGAGATTTTTACAAGATTCTTGTTGCAATGTGCATAAATATATTTTAATAAATAAATACTTGGCCATTCATTAGTTGATGCTAATAGAATATTCTCGATGTGACTAACTAATTCATTTAAAATGAATTCATTAGCGGTAACAAGTACATCCATCAATTCTCCCGAATTGAAATTTACGAGGGAGATACTACCACTATAAATATATTTTAAGATAACGTCAAATACTTTGGGTGAAACGTTTGGTTTCTCGAATAAAAATTTGTCATCCCGCTTTTCGCAATTTTTTAAAGAGGAGAGAAAATAAGGGGATTGTGCTTTGAGAATCACGGAATGAGCGTTAAAAGTTTTTAAGGATTCTCCTTGACCGACTTTTATGATAACATTATATTCATCAGAATCTTCGAGGAGTTTTGCGTAATTATTGAGGATAATTAATTTTTTATCCATATTTATGTGGAGATAGACGTAGGACAAAAATTCAACATTAAGAATTCAACGCAAGATATTTTTATTTCACTCAGTTATTATTTATTAATTAACATTGAAAAAAAATCCTGGTCTATGAACTACGTTAGAATAAAAATTTCATCAAGGAAAAAACAAATAATGTGGCAAAAACTTCCAATTTAAAGTCACCAACGAATCTAACGGCACTCGAACTAGGAGCACTCGTAGGCGTAGCCGCATCAACAATTGGGGTTGGTTCAGTTCCTCCAACGTAAATCACCCCCCACATACCATTCATACAATGAGTTCCTACACTGCAAAGGTAATAAAGTGTTGCTTTTGTATCTGTGATTTGTAATTCAAATCCATTTACTGGATTTGTCGTGGATTTGACTTTGGGAGTGAGAAATAAAGAAAGAAATTTTTTTTTTTAAATTTTGACTGAAAAAAGTAAAAGAAAAAATTTTTTTTTTTTTTTTGAAAATTCAGAATAACTTACAAGTATTTTCCATTTGACTTAATTCACATGAGCCGAGTCCATCACTTTGAACAACATTATGCATTCCACCTTCAAATTCCCATCGAATCTATTAAAGAAAAGGGAAATTTTTTATCAAATTTTTTTTTACTTTTTTTTTTAATAAAATAAAAATAAAAGAAAAGAAAAACTTTTTTAGAGCACTTACAACATCTCCTTTAACAGCTGTTATGTTTTGAGGGACAAATTTTAACAATCCATTTCCACCGACTTTGACGATTTTTGTTTCAGCATAAACATACGTTACGATTAAGGAGAAAGCAATACCAAGGGTAATTAATTTGACAATGTTTATTTGATGGGCCATTATGATGAATTTTTAATGATACTAATTTTATCGTCAAATATATGTTTTCTTCAAAAATATTGCTTCTCCTTATTTCCGTTCTTATTCAAAATACCTTCTATTAGTTATACTATAAATTCTATTAACGTAAAAAAGAATTTATTATATTTAGTAAGAAAAAGACAATAATTGAAATAACGCCAAGATCGTTTCATCTTTATATGTATTTTTTAGACATCAAATTTTCCAAAATGGGGATTTTTTATCAAAAAAAGAAACACACACCCCCTGCATCAATTTGCAGAAATGTTTGTTGAACAAAATAAATTTTTTATAAGAATCAGAGAAAAAAAACTATCGGAAAAATTAAAAATTTAAAGGATGAAACTGTTCTGTGTGAAGACAAAGATAATAAAATAAATAAGATCATTTGTATGCGCATTCATCAATCTTGAATTTAATATTTTATCTTTCTTTAAGATTTTAATTTATTTTCTGAGAACAGATACAATAATAGTTAAAACATTTGCACAACGCGTCAGTTATACTGGTTCTTTCATTATATGTATAAGACAAACACGAGATATTTTAAGATATGGAGTCTAACGTCCGATGGAAATGATTATCCTGATTGACAAAAGCTTATCACAATAGAACATTCGATAAAACAGGCTTAAAAAGGTCTTTTATTTCAGATAATTCCAATTTAGTATATTTGATAAAGGTCAGGAGTTCACAATGATTTTATTGGAATGTCTTCCTTTTGTTATATTTTTGAAACATTATAAATATTGTATGTATTTGAATACTTTACCAAATAAATAATTTGAAATGGCACTTCAAGAGCGAAGGTTGCTTTTCAAATCATTTCGAATATTAACATTCGTATCAACGTTAAGCTGTTTAATATTGGGTATAATTTTTATCAAAAAAAAATAAAATAATTTGAAAATTCTCACGAGCCTTTTTTGATATTTCGCAGAGATAGCCGATGTTATTTCATACACGATTTATTACACTGCATCAAAACTAAATTTATATTTTACCGCTCAAGGGTAGTTCATTATTTTATGACATTGATTTCTATTTAAGGCTTTTTTTATTTATAGAAATTTGGTTTATATTTATTTTATCTGCATATACATGTCATGTAGATTTTCGATTCATGGAATAAAAATCTTTTTTTTGCTTGTCACACTTATAGGACTTTATACGAGCGGTAAGTCCCTAATTCTTCGTGGTTCCTGCTTACGAGAATCATTGTATTTTGTTAAAACCTTATTCATTCTTAAAGGGTATTATGTGATAACATTTGAGACGAGGTGGAAAAATGGCCTTCCTAAAACCGATATTTTATTTGACTTGTAAGTTTTAACATCTTCAAATATCTAAAAATTTGATCAAGTTTATCAATTCTCGATTCGTTTACTGTTTAGCTTGTTGGTCGCATTATGGTCCATTTCAGGTAATTTCAATTCCTTTTCACAGGTTCTCAATCCTACTTTCCTAAATTTCTAATCTATTTGCAAATCCCAAATATAGCACTGACAAACTTTATCCCTGCCTACAAAAATAATCTATTGATTTGCCTTGAACCATCCTCGGAATTTCACGCGAAACCACTTATATTCCATCAATTATATTGTTACACTCATTTAATTAGCATTTTTTTGGGAGTTTTAAATATATTGCTCTATCTTATAACCGCATTTTTAACGGTAGCGTTAATTGCACAAATTCGTACGATTGAATTAAATTCGTTTAACACATCTAATCAAAGGTTAAGCGTAGGATCAATAACAACAAGTGGACATAATCGTTATATCCATTATGGTGGTGGACGTAAAGATTTTGCTAGTGGTTTCGATGGTGGTGGTGGTCATGATGGATATGGTGGTGGTGAAAGTGGTGGTCGAGGATTATACAGCAGTGGTGGTCGTGGTAGTGATGGACAAGATGGACGTGATAGTGAACATTATTACTATGGGGATAAAAGAGAAAGTCATAATGATGAAAGCAGAATTAATAGCAATAGAAGAAGTGGAGATTCTTTTTATAATCAAATAAATACCGGATAATCTTCTAATAGTCGCACAATATGTACAGTATATTTGAAAATAAAGTTATGGTAAATGTTGGTATTCAAAGTTGAGAATGTAATAATATAATGCCGTTATCAAAGATTAATAAATATTTCCCCAATTCGTATGAAAAGGATATTTTACGACATGTGTTATTTAGTATATGTTAAAAATGTTTTCTTCCTAGAGGTGGTGTGGTGACTCTGAACATTATTGCAAAAAAAATTTCTTTTAAATAAAAAAATCTTTATTAAGAGAACGTTCACACCTTATCATTCATGCCATCCAATTCTTTGCAGAATCCACATGTAAAATACCCCAATCAATATATGTTCTAATAATTTCTCTAATATCTCTTTTGTATTTATAACTAGTTCTATGAAAGACATTAAATTCCAAGTTTTTTATATTATTTTGACGTAAACATTTAAAAAACTCTTTAAAAACGGTTACATTACAATCTAAATGATACAAAGCTAAAGTGAAAGATTTTAATCTGGGGGAGGAAATGACCATACCAATCCTTGGTATGATTGCACTTAAATCTTGAGATACGTCCAATAACCCGTCAAGAGTGTTCAAAATGATCCTAATGTTAGTTAAGTGATGACATGATAAAAGTACCTCGGGAATCATTTGCATGGATAATATAAAAACTGAGGTGTTTAACTCTTTAAGATTTGGACAATTTTGAGCGATATTCTTGAATAATGCTGGACCATTCTCCGAGTCCACTTCGTGATGCCAATTTAAATGTAATGTCTCCAAACTACTATTGCTATTCTGAAATACATTTGCCAGCTGATTTAAGTTTACGGGAATTTCTTTTTTTTTTATTTTTTTTATTTGTTTTGTTAAAAAAAAAAATGATATTTATATATAATTAATTTATTTTTAAAAAAGAGCCTTTCACTCGAAATCCCTTAATGATTTTTTTTATCGTGATGCTTACCTTCGATAATCTTTAACGTTTTAATTTTCTTACAATCCTTAAATACTTCCATGGGAATCGAAACGTCACCATGAATCCGCAATTTGATCAAAGAATAATTCGTAACCTTTAAAGTATTCCTCAACGCCTCGGTAGTTTTAGGTAAATTCATAAAAGTTCCTTGGATCTTCAAATATTTTAATTCCTTTAAATCCATAATGAACCTAGATAGACCTTCATTATCTTCACCTAAAGAACAAATGACTTTTAATTTATCAACCGAAGTAAAAACCTTGCGTAAATCATCATAAATATCAATTGGTATATGAGTATAACATTCGAATAATTCTAAATTATTATTTTTCAAAGGGATGAATTCTGATAAAATACGTAAATGAGGATAAGATGATAAGTGATTATCGGTAAACCATGTTTGTGTGAATTTAATTTGATACCTCAGGTTTTGACATTGACTAATAAACATCTTACACAATTCCCTAAAGATTATTAATTGATTCCGTAAAATCTTTGGTGTCAGGTAATTACCATCCTTCGAAGTATGATTACACCAAAATAATATCTTGTAATATAATGAATGAAATTCCAAACTTTTTAAGAATGATGCATAATTGAACATCGTTTTGGTCATCTCTGGAATTATTTCGTACTCTCGAAGATTGATTTTCGATTCCTCATTCAAGCATGATATGTAAAATGGAATTAATAATTTTGGATGGATCTCTTTATTAATGGGATTTTTCCATAGCATTGATACCGCGTTCGCGCACCAAAACTTATTAACAAATAAACAGTTGTACAATTCCTTATGTTTAAGATGATTTGCTACATTTTCATCTTCAACAAGGTATTTAAAGATAGTTTGAAGAATTTCCGTTGGAACACTCAATGTCATGCTTCTTTTTTTAAAAAAAAGGGGGGAAGGTAAGAAACAACGCGCTGTAAAAGAAATTTTTGTGGCGTTGAGATAAATTTTTTACGTAATATCTTTGTGGCGCAGGCTTAAATCATCCAAAGCCCAATCCAATCTCCTTTGGTCATTCAAGTTTGACAGGGCCTCTGATAACATAAACAATAAATATTTTAAAAAAGTTGTGGATGGTTATTTTGTTCCTGGGATAAACTAAATAAATAAAGACATGCTAATAATATTATTGGGCATCATATTTAAATTATCATTCAAGATGAGATCTGTTACTTTCTAAGAAATATTATAACATAGGTAGTAATGGTTCTAGGCAAGTAAAGCGAGAATCTAAAATTACTGCGCCATTAAAATTTCTGTACATTGAAATAATGTATATATATATATAGTTCTAAGCTCGTGGGAAAGGTTGAAATCATGTTCTAAACGAATATATGTACAATTTTCTCGCTCACAACTTTAACTATTGGGTTTATAAATTTATGACCAACAATCATAATTGTCTTGCCAAATACAAGATCAGCAGCTCCATCAACTAGTCGTTCTGTTGCCACAATGGGTCTTCCGTCCACAAAGTACGCGACGGAAGAAATTAATTGATATCCTGTACCAATCAATGGCACGAAACCAATAACATTTGATACTTTGTTCTCCACCAATTGGAGAGAGTTGAGAGTCTCCAGTTTAATACCCTTGTAATTTAAGGATGAAAGTTTGCTTGTTAATCGTTCCAGACTTTTCGCTCTTTTTGCAACAGCATCATGACCTTGGGTGGGAAAATCAACCGCAATGGTCGGATAATCTCCGAAATTATTCTCAATGGTTTTAGAGTTTTCATTGACCCATTCCGGTTCACAGTCGGTGATGATTATGATGATATTTCTCTCGCCTCCTTTAAAGATCTCCTTAAATACCTTGAACAACTGGCTATCTTCCTTGGTAAACTCCCCCTTCTTCTTAACGTAGCATATGTAGTTGAGTGGTCCCCTATATTTCGAAAAATAGTTTCTTATACTTTTCACTGCCTTCTTATGTGGAGTACTTTTAAAATTTGTTTGACATACTCCGATTATGTCGACCACTTCAAATGTCTCGCTAACATCACGATTTGTCTGATCTCTTATTCCAACCGCCGCATCTTTAACTACGAACGCATTATTTTCTCGATGAATGTCACCTTGGACCAGCATATTAGCAACGGTAGACTTTCCTTGTCCAGTAGGTCCAAAAAGAGCCACACTCATTGGTTTACTCATATTGAAGAGTAATGATTTCGGGAATGAGAGTACCAGTATTTAGGGATTGTTTGCAGAAGGATTTTCCTTTTATTATTTTGACAGCGACGGGATAATTGAACTCTTGTTTAAATACTTAATGTTTGGCGTTCTGCCAAGATTTAGATTAAACCGAGTCTAATTTAAAAGAGGTTAGAAAACCTCGGCTAAGATGAAACAAAAAAAATCCCATTTGAAAAGCAGAACTTACAACGCCAAATTACGCGTAGATGATTTTCCTAAACGGTTAAGGCGCAGTATTAGATTTAGTCATACTAGGTAATATTACCAAATCCTTAAAATTAACGGTTAAAAAAAAATTTAAAAGAATTTCATTTGTTTCACATGTAGAGTTAGTTTCATATCTTTTCACTTCTTTTTATTCATAAGAAAAAAAAAGGCAAGTAATATTTATTTTATAAATCTAGATTAAAAATTTGGCAAATTAAATCCCATTAATTTCATTATAATTCAGTTGGTATTTTTAAGTGTATGAGGGAGGTCATTAATTTTCAGATATAATATTGATTTAAAAGATAATGAGAAGATAAAAAAAGATAAAAAAAGCTAAAGGAAAAAAGTTCAAAACTCTATTGAATAAGTAAGCATAGCAAATTGAAATATTTTTTCTTTTTGATTTTCGAATCTGGTTAAGAAACGATTCTATCAACTTTATTTATTATACAAATAAAATTTAATCAAATTTAGTTAGATTAATATAAAATTTGGAATGAAATTATTGAATTATCACTATAAGTTATCACATAAATTACTCATTAAATTTAAATTTTCCCGGACGCGAAATGTTTTAATGGTATTCGCAGTAAGTTAATCTTTTCCTTCATAAGGTATTTATATAAATCTACCAAAAGTGATCAGTGAATTAGCGAGCATATGATAATTTATCAAGAACGATAATTCAATAGCAGAACTACCCAATGCTAACAAATATAATGAATATAACTGATCAATCTCGAAGTTTCTAAACAGATTTATATTTATTTACATAAAAATTTTTTTTTTTTTACATTGTTCCAAAAAAAAAGTTCGCTACCACATATCACTCTCTAGTTACGAAGTTCGCTCTTAAACTAAACTAGAATACCTAACTTTAAACTTATGATTAAATAACGATTTGAATTCGAACTTGTTTAAATATTCAAAACAAATTTCATCCCAGTTAAATACACAAACCCAACTTAACCAAAACAATATAAAAGGATTAAATACGGCTAATGTTACATCCAAAACTCTCAACTCACATAACAGAAATAATAAATTTGAAATTATTTTGTTTTTTGTGGTGTTACATTGCCATGGAAATTTAGCATATGGTTCTGCGTTAAATATTGCCATCCTAATTGCCAAGGCAACTTTTTGTTTAAAGGAAAAAGTAAGGGTTAGCCGGTATATTATTATTAAGTATATGAACACGTTTGATTGATTTATAAATACCGTAATAAAATATCCATAAAACTGCTAATATTCTGCATATAAATGAATTAGTATAATATCTTGTAAATCGAAAGATTGGCTAAAGAATTACTTACAAATAATGAGCTCCTATGTCAACGCCATTTTTTTTTGTGCTCTTCCATCCGAATTTGAAAAATGAATATACTGTTATGTGCAAGGAAAAGTTAAAAAAACTTTATAAATAAATAAAATAAAAAAAATGTCATATTTACTTGCATAACATATCGCTCCTATGACTAGACAAAGATATCTAAATAAAAATAAAAATATATAAAATAAATGATCATTTAATAAATCAGAGGTTAAGAATAACTTGCGAAAACTTACAGAATAGCACTATCATCATCAGTTATATCATCCTTTTGAATATATAACGGTGATTCTTGTTCGATTAAATTCAAAAGTGCAAATAATCGTATATCTAAAACGTAAAAAAAGTAAGGTGGAATTGCATTCTATATTCGTAAATTGTAATCAGCAACTTACGTGTAACTCCACAAATCATAAGATAAAATATATATAAAATTCGAAAAAATAAAATAATCATTTTGTAGTGAATATAATTATGATCTTTTTCTTTTTTTTTTAATAAAAAAAAGAAACAGGAAAAAAAAACCAAAAAATAAATATATATATATTTTATCGAGATATTTAATCTTCTATTCACAAATTGCTTAGCCTCCATTTCAATAACAGTGCCACATTTCATTTCCCGAGCGTTTCACACACACATTATGACGATAGTCAATCAACTTCTTTGGTTAGAATACGACAAACTATTTTTTGTGGCAAAGTGATTTTATGAGGGAGAATAATTGAATGAATGTTTTGTTGTACAAATCTCATATAGTATTTTGAATTATATTCTAAAAATCTTTTGGTATAAACTGGTTATTTATAATAAATGTGGAGTCATAATTTGCAATATACAGTAAATGATAAAAATCCAACCGACAAATAATTTTAATTTCATTTAGTCAGGATTATTGCCTGTGATAATGACGTATTTCAATATAATTGCAAGCAATAAAAGATGTAACTAAGGAAAGAGATCTTATGCAAATAAAGATCTTTTTTACAAAAACAGGATTTAATTAAAGTAATAAATTATGTAATGATCTTTTTTGTTTTGCTGCAATGCCAAAAAAAAATGTCGTGAATTTCTGATTTGAAATAAAAAATAATTTTTTTTTGAAATTAATACATTAAAAAATAATATTAAATAAAGAAAATAGTTTTATGAATAAAAACTTAATAAAATAAAACAATTTAAAATAAATAACATTTTTTTTTTAAAAAATGTTATTTATTTTAAATTGCTTAATATGATATGATCTCTTAAATAAATTGACTTGCAAACTTTAAAAAAGTATTAATTTCTTAAGAAAATATAAAATTTTAATTTAATAATATAATTATTGATATATAATATAATTAAATATAGTGAGATCTCTTTAAATGCATTCTCTTGAAACTATAGTAAAAATTTGAAAAAATATCTATTTAAAAAGAGAAATTTTGTATGATCTTTATATGTTTAAGACTGTATGAAATGTGTATTAATAGAAAAATAGATAATACATGCATTTAGAAAGGATGTATTTATAGAGGTTTCACTATAAATATATTATGTAAATTTTTTAAAATAATTCATTTTATAATCAAGTAAAAATTTATTTATATTTATATAAAATTTTAAAATAAGAATAAAGATCTATTTATTATATAGTAATATATAAGATTTTTATTTTATTTAAAATACTATTTAAATTAAAAGAATTTATAAATATATTTATAGATAATTTCATGATTCCTAAATCACTAATAATATTTTAGTTATAATTCATGATATATTATTGATATTAAAATATTAATTAAAAATAAAATATTTAAATCAATTTGTATTTTAATTACAATATTTAAAACATAAACATTTAACTATTTTAACTATTATATATTTTTTTTTTGTAAAAAAAGTTTTTAAATATAATAATTTAAATTAAAATTTATTATATCAATATATATTTATAGTAGTTTAGAAATCAGCTAGAAATTAATTATTCAATTTTATAATTCAATATGAATCAAAAAATAAATAGGAAAGTATTTTGATGTTAAATAAGCAAACCTTAATATTTCCATTAAGCGATGGATAGTTTGACGAAAATCAGCGATTTTGATCAGTCCAAGCACGTACGTGTATTTCAAAATACCGTCTGAATCCCAAATCGAGAAGGGTTCCCATTTAAGTGAAAATTTATATTAAGAACAATAACAAAAGGTTATTAATGACAATTTTATTGACATAAATATTGATCAATTCGGACCGATTTTAAAGTTGTCAAACAGAATATACAGAACATAACATAAATATAAAAGCAAGAAGCTGTCGTAAATAAGTGATATATCACGTGATTCATCTTTTTGGGGGAATTTTTTGCCATAGATTATCATGCCCCAAATTCATCTTTGCATTGTTCTTTGTCAGCTTTGCGGACGCAAATTAGGAGATGATTTCCAACTAATTTATGCGAGAAGATCTTATGATCAAAAACATATACAGTAACATTAGTTTAAATTGTTTCAAGTTGTATAAACCCTTGATATTCATGGCATAGTGAACGTCACTTCCTTGTTATCCCATAGTTTATAACAATGTATTGGGTCTGTGCACAAAATGGTACAAATGACATTGATCATAAAAATAACTATTCATTGTGAAAATTTCAATAAATTAAAAAGAAGAAATAGAATTTATAATTTAGTTGTACAAGAAAAAAAAATTCAGTATTATCTCCGTTGTGACACATCCATTAAAATGGTCGTAACTTAAAATTTTTATGGTACAAATGAATGAAAAAGTTTTTTGGGTAACTGCGCTCCTTAAATTTAACATATAAATGAGCTTTACTGAGTTTACAATGACATAATGGAAAAAGCCAAGGATTTTCCAGTCAAGAGCCTTTTTTATAAATAAACTAGTTTTTTATATATATGATTTAATAAAAAAAATATAATCGCCAAATATCTAAAGATCTGCTTAAAATGGTTACATTTTTATAAATAATATACAGTTTGGTTTGTTGAGTTCTTTGCTTGCTTTGTTCTCTAAAAATAAAAAGAAGAATGCATAATTTTTGATAAAAAGAAAAATCTTTATTAAGACAAATTTGAAAAAAAAAAAAATTTCATCTGTTTCTTCGTTGTAAAAGAAAACCTTGCCGTAGTTTTGTTTTTTTCCCTTTTTTTTTTTTTTTTTTTTTTACTATAATTAATTATAGAATTCCGTGCCTCTGTACTTGAAGTACATTTAAGATATTATTGCTTTAATTGTATATAGATCTCTTTTTTATTTGGCAAGTCCAAATAATAAAGATAATTAATTGGTCTATAAAAGATAAAGGATTAAATAGAAAATTTTAATACATTAGAAATAATAGACTTTTGCACGGATAGGAATTATCCTTTTATTTTTATTTTATTTTTTATAACAACCTAATACAAAAGCAATATAAATATATAATTATCCGAGTTTTGAGTAATTAATAGTTTTCTGAGAAAATTATTCTTAAAAAAATACCAATTATTTCCTCACTTTTTGTTTCATCATTCTCTAATCAAATTGAGATCAAAACATCTCCCTAGATTTTTTTTTTTACGGCAAACAAAAAAAATTATCCTTTAGTCAAATTGTAGTTTACTACAATCAAATAATTTCTTTCAAAATATAATAATCATGTCCACCGAAGAACAACAGATACCATCAACATCTACAACAAAAGAAATTCAATATGAACAAAATGAAATTGAAAATGGTGATGACGACAGGGAACATCAAAATTTACAAGAAGCAGCAGCACAACGGGAAGAAGAAATACAACAAGTAGAAGCACAACATGAAGAAGATATACAGCAAGACAAAGAACAAGAAGAAGAAGACATGCAAGAAGAGGCGCAACAAGAAAAGGTATATGATTATGTACAACAGCCAATAGCTTCTTCTTCAACAGCTGAATCATCAAATCATACTTTGCGTGATGATAATTTAGAACATAATCATGTGATGCCTCGTTTTAATAAACGTGGGATACCGATAACCTATTCAAAACTTTCAGATCGGTATACTTTCTCGTTTTCCGCTGATTTAATAACCCAGGTTTGTACAAGTCGAATATTAATGCTATTCGAAATGTTAACTTTTATTAATTTTAAGTTAATGTGCTAAAATATTTTTTATTCCCTTTATAGTTCGATAAATATCGAGCACATATGCGGGAAAGTATACGGCAGGAATTAGATGTGAATGAAGAAAAGGCAAGTGTGCATATGATAAAATTCACTATGAATGAATATATTAATTCTAAATTATTTATTTCACTTTTACAGATAGTTTACGCAGAATCTGATAAGAATAAAGAAGAAATATTTAGTGTACATCAAGTTCATCATGGGCCTGCAACATCTGAACTTTCAAATTCACAAGAAACATCAACAAGAAACAGATCGACAGATGATGCACCAAAATCTTGTTTACCGACAAAATCTTCAAATAAGAATCATTGTGGAAAATCTTTTAGAATTTCATTTTTACGTGGCAAAACGTCAAAAAATCAAAATCAAAATCAAAACCAAATTCAAAATCAGAATGCGACAACTATCACAACAACTACGACAAATTTGTCGGATCTTGCTACTTTATCATCAGACGTTGATCGACAACGTCAAGTTGAATCCGAATTTACAAATAATCAAAGGAGACATAAATCAAGATTGACATTTATCAAAAAATTACCATTTGTCTCAAGTTGTACTGTTAATGATGATGAATAATTGTCGTCATTTATTTATTTATTTATGATGTATTATTACTATTTTTGTTACTATTTTTATTATATTTACTAGTACTCTTATTATTGTAATTATTATTATATTACTGTATGGTTTAAAAGGTATTTATGTGCTATTAATTGTTCATAATTTTCTTAGAAAAAAATAGGCATTTCCTCATTTATTTTGTAATTTTATTTATCGTAATTTATTTATTAATTTATTAATTTTAATCAGATATTTCGCTTTAAAATTATTCATTAGTTTCGATGTTCATTTTATACGTTAATTATAATTTCATAATCACGAACAAATTTATTTTTTCATAAAATTCAATTCATTGTTAATTTATCACAAACACAAAAACCAACAAAAAAAAAAAAATAAATTTCAAAAACTACCAAATGTATAATGGAATGTCAAATATGTTGTTGCGCATTAGTCAGTCGGAAAAATTAGTACGCATGTTGTGATTACTTAAACTGACACGCTTTTAATGGTACTTAATACTTGAAAAAGTATTTAAAGGTCAACGAAATCAGAAATTTATCGCAGTATAATTCAGAAGTAAGAATTATCTGTGTCAAAGTTATAAAAAACGAGATTTTTTTTCGTTTTAAAACTTTACGTCAATTGCCATATGATTAATAAAACTTTATAGTTTGTTTGTTTGTTTGTTTGTTTAACCATAAATTCTTGCCATATGTCATCAACGAATGCTTGTGATTCTTGTGATTCATTCTTACATAATACAATCTTCATTTTGGGATATTGAATATCGTAATCAATATATTAACCCTTTATATTCGTAACCTAACTGCAAAAATTTCTAGCATAAAATAATTTATGCTTCATTCTATATTTGAATTTTTCGCAATCTATATATTTTTGGAAAAATTATAAAATTATCTACATCTTAGAAATCAAAAGCAAAGAATTAGAATGAACCAAAAAGATCTTGGCTTTGGTATTTATGAATCAATAATATTAATATAAAATTATCACTATGGAATTTTTGTTCAGAAATCGAAATAAATATGAACGAATACATCGAAATGTATAACTAGATTATATTATTTATATTTGTTTACCTTTATTTAAAAAAATGAATTTAATAAAGTTTTAGCTATTTAATTGTAATCAAATGTCAACTAAATACTAATACATATTTACATATTTATGATTATTATTTAATAAGTACCTATTAGTAATTTTAGTTGATTTTAATTATTTTGTACAGGTTGAATTAAAGCTTCGCATGAGCTGGCTCAAGTTGGCTCAACTATCAACTCAAGCTGAGCTGATTTATTTTGGCTCATAAGCCAGCTTATGAGCCATACAATCCAGCTTGTAAAGCTTATATTATTAATAAAAATCTGAAAAAAATTTTGGAATGATTGAAAAGTTAGAATCATCTTCAAAATTACTTTCTTCAAATAAAAATGTTTTTGAATGATTCTCTTAAAAAGAAAATACTTCTGGAATATTTCTTATGAATCAAATCACTTTCAAAGTATTTTTCTTTAAGAAATACATTTCTGAAGCAATTTCTTTTAAGAGTTTCATTTTCAGAGCGATTTTTATTAAAAAATTCAATCTATAGTGATTTCCTTTAAGAGTTTTATTTCTAGAGTATTTCCATTAAGAAATTTGCTTTTGTAATAAATTCTTTTAAGAGTTTTGCTTACAGGACAAGTTCTATTAAAAAATTCACTTCCATAGTGAATTCTTTTAAAAAATTTTACTTCTGTAGTAAGAATTTTGCTTCTGAAGCATTATTTTTGAAGTAAAACACTTTTACTATAACATATCTTTAAAAAAACACATTTCTAAAGCATTATTTTCAAAGTAAAATACTTTTACTATAATGTATCTTTGAAAGAACAAGCTTTTGAAACATTATTTTCAAAGTAAACACTTCTGAAATGTTTTTCAAAATAAAATGCTTTCAGAATATTATCTTCAAAGAAAATCGCTTCTCAGAGCAATTTTTTCAAAAAAATCACTTCTGTAGTGTATCTTTAAAGAATATGCTTTCAGATTGTTATCTTTAAAGAAAAACGCTTTAAAGTATTTATTAAATGTGAATTGACTTATAGATGAAGTAGGATACAAAATTTATATTTATTTAAGTTATATAATAAATCAAATTTAATTTATTTGCAAAAAATAATTAAAAAAATTTAAACAATCTTAAAATAATAAAAATAAATATAAAGCATAAACTAAAATGAATACATAATAATTCTTTATATAAAAAAATAAATTACTTTAAAGTATTGTTTTTAAAAATAAATTTTATTCTCTTTTTTTAAAATAAATCCAATTTTAAACATCCTTTAAAACATATGTATTTATAAATTGTTTTACTTTTTAAACTGCATTTTTTTGTATTACTAAATCTGTTTCACCTAAAAAAATTCTTTCTATAGGTAGGTACACTTGTAACTAAAAAATAATAATTCTTATAAATTTTTAATAATGTTAACGTGTAATTCTTACAAACAATAACCATTAGACAGAATATTAGAGTATTATTTCTTTTTAATTACATAGTAATCTTAATACTTTACAAATATACTTTTACGACTAAATTCAGATAGAAGGATTTATATGAGTGTTTTACAAACAATAAATCATGGTGTATCAATAAATTATATTTCAAAGTAAGAAGTTTATTAATGAGATAAATAACAAAAATAAAGAGATAACAAGAGAAAAGTAAATAAAATAAAGAAATGAAATACTAAATCTAAAGTATATTACGATAGGTTTGTTTGCCTCTTAAAACTATTAGAAAACTGACTAATCAAATTCTACTTTTTACATAGTCTAAAAAGCTATCTATTTATATAAAATACAATACATAGAAAGATATAACTAATAAGTCTAATATATCGTATATGTCTAATATGTCTAATATATTATATATGTCAAATCTGTCTAATGTATTCTATTTGTTGATCATATCAAATATATTATATATATCAGACATATTAGAAATATTATAAATGTCAGACATGTTGGATTTATTAGATTTGTCAATCATTTACGTCACGTAAGTCCTATCACATTTTATCCGTTTACAATAGTAAATATAATTTATAAAATAATTATAATCATAATATTTATATTAACCTAAAACAGCTAAGTAATCTTTAGTTATTTTAGAAAGATTTGGATATTCTCTTTTATGAAGCTTTATAATAATTTAAAAAGAAATAAATTACTATAATAGATATTTTTTACAATACTTACTTTCTACCATAATAAAATATCAGTTTTATTTAGGATTAGAAAAGTCCTAAAAAGTCCTAATTGGTCCTGATTAATTTTAAAAAAATTATTAGTTTTAAAGATTTTTTTTTTAAATATTATTATTATAAATAATTTTAATTAATGTTACTTATTAAAATAAAATAAAATTTATTTTTAAAATTTAAAAAAATCTTTAAAATATTAGATTTAGTATCTAGGTCCTAGTACTAGATCCTAAATTAAGTATATTTCTAATTTTTAAAGAATTTTTTATTTTAAATTAATAAAAAATTTATTTAATATAATAATTAAAAAGATAAATTTATTATTAAAAAATAAAATTAATAATATATTAATAAAAATTATCTTTAAATTCATAAAGATTAATTAGGACTTTTTAGAACTTTACTAACCTTAGTTTTATTAAATATTACTGGATCTTTAAGATAATATTTAAGTTTATCTCTGTAATTTATTTTTTTTTTAAAAAAAAACATGAGTAAGAATATCATCTTCTAAATTATTAAAAGATTGAATAACATCTGCAATATTTCTGTAATTTTTTTTTTTTCCTAAACATCAATAATAATTTTTTTTTACTTCATTAATAATATAATAAGATTCTCAATTATTATTTTTAAAATATTGTAATTTTAACCTTGGATCTATTACTATTTATTATAAATAAAAATTATTAATATTATTATATAAAAATAAAAAATATCTAATTTTAACTAACTAACCTGTAGCAATAATATAAATATATCCATCTGTTAATATTCTAAAATTTTATCTTTTGTTAATTTTGCTGAATTTTTAATTTTAGTTTTATTATTATCATTATTAATTATTTCTTCAAGTTTATCTATTAAATAAAATTATAAACTGGAATATTATATGAAAAAGAATATAATTGACCAATAATAAAATTAAATCATTTTTTAAAATGCTAAATATAATTAATTATTAATAAATATATATAAATAGTTTTAAATAAAATTTTTAAATAAATTATAAACCTGTAAAATTTCATGTATTTCTTTAATACAATTCCATTCATAATTTGAAAGAATATATATATTAAGTTTTTCATCAGATGATATTATATTATGAAGAGCATTTTTTAATAAAGAAGTTTTAATATCATATCTGTAGAATTCTAACAGATTTAATATCTATGATTTAAAGCAATATATTATTGATAAAATCTTTCATATCATTGTGATAAAGCACAAAATTTTACTACTAATTTTCTAAGTTTAATAATTATAATAAAAATAAAATTAAATTAATTATAAAAGTATTTTTTATTAAATAATAGAATATAACTTACTTTATATATAATATTTTATAAATTTTCATCAGTTTTAATTTATTTATTTAAGGCATTTTCATTATCTAATTCTAATACATTAAGATTTTAAGTACTTTTTATACAGCTATATTAATAATATAAGCAAGTATCTAACATATTGATGATATGAATCAAATTCAATATTTTGCTTATTTAAACTTAGCTGTATTATCACATATAATTGCTAAAATCTAAAATCTAAAAATAAAAATTTAAAAAAATAAAAATTTATTTTTAAATAAATTTATATACTTTTGTTAAAATATTAAAATTTTGTAAATTTGTTTGCTAAATTTTCTTCAGAATGTGAACCTGACAAATGACAAAAGTCTAAAATAGTACTTTTTAATTGCTATTCATTATTAAATCAAATCAAATATAAGTTCAAATT